CAAAAGGAACTTTGTCTACCTCCATGGTGGCTCCAGTGAAATACGGAAGGAATACCGGGGAGGACCAAACCAGCTTCCGAAAGCACTTGTTTCCAGATTGGTCGAACCGGTCGATCTGGAGGCACAGCATGTCAGAGACTCCTGATAAAGCCTGAAGGCCATAGGACTCAAGGCTCCATGTGGTGATCAAATCCTGCAGCGCGGTTTCATCTCTTTTCGAGCCATCGCTCAAGTAGAGCCTCACAGGACAGTGGTGAGATCCGCCGTCCACCGTACGCACCTGGGCATCAGCGTCAACCCTGGCTTCCCAGAGATTGCTAGCAAAGCACGGTGACACCTGGGACAAAAGGAAGTGTGCAAAATCAACCAAGTCATGCTGTTCAAACGGTTTGTCCCAGGACTGAAGGAGTGTCTGCCAAGGTCCATTGGACCATAAAAGCATCGGCTCAGCTGGAGCGTCAGTAAGTAGCTGACCAAACACTTCAGGCAGAATCTCCCATTGGCTGTCCTGTAGAGGTCCCTGTTGGATGGCACCCCATAGCAATCCTTGAACTGTAGCGTTCATGTAGCAGCAGTTTTGGGGATTGCTCAGTCCCCTGAGGTACTTGCCGTCTTCTGTGATCACATGGTCTCGAGTAGCCTCCCCAAGTGAGAGGCTAGTGGAGTTCGCTGTAGGTTGGCCTGCCTCATCCTTCCCAAGATCAGCTGCCAAGCGCCGGAGTGTGTCATCTCCTGCCATACGGAGTGCATCTCCATGGAGTGTCTGTGAGAGAGAGCAAGTGATAGCCTCCATGGGATCACCTGAGGAGTCGATGTTTGCTCCTTGTTCATGTTCTGCTGAATCTGGGCATTGGGGCGAAGGGCCCCGAACCTGATGATCAGTGCCTGTTGCTGTAGCAAGGTCAATATTTTGGTGATCTGGTTGGCCACGTACGGCATCGTCAATGCTGTTCTGTTCGTGTCTATTTCCAGAGCTTTTTGTGTCGGGTTCCACTGCAGGAAGGAGAAGCGGAGTTCGTTGCTGTTCTCCCCCGGAGTCAAGTAGTGAAACTTGAGCAAAGTCTGGACCAAGTCGTCTTCTTGTCGAGCGGTCTGAAGTTTGCGGACTCTCGTCAGCAACTCCTCCAGCATGACTCTCAGGACCTTGATCCTCAAGGGCATCGTGCGGTCCTGGGGCTCGGTGAGATGCCATTCCTCCGTGGCTTGCATCATCTTGAACGTGATGCTCCCTGGACCGAGGCTCAAAAAAAGCATGTAGTCCTGCTCCATGGCTAACCCTCTCAACGCGTCTTCGTGTCGAAGTGATAGTCGAGCAAGGGTCTGGACGATTTGCCTGAGATCGTCGGTTTGGCTGCTCTGCTGTGGTGTCCGGCGATTTTTGCCTTTTCCCTTGCCTTTGGTAGGCCGGTGTTCTGCTTTCTGTCTCTTGGATTGGGGCTGGGAGTCGTCTGGTTCGTCCTTGGTGGAAGCCAAGGTCTTGAGGACGCCCCACATCTGCTGGATTTGACTTGGGTCCTGATCCCGGTCCTCGATGTCCATGATGAAGTCGACAGAGCAGACCTGCTAACTGAAGCAAGATCGGGCACTCATGGGCTGCAGTCAAGTGCAAGTTGCAAACCGAGCACTGGTACAGGTGGGGTGTCATGTCCAGGAGATATCTATAGTATAGTGCCCCCCTGGTGCAATCCGTGGGATGTTGGTGTCGGAGATGTAGGAACATGTCATGAGCCCCCACTGATCGACCACACAGTGCACAGCATTGCCCAAGAGCGGCGCACAAGTCTGGAGTGCTGATGAGTTTCGCAAGCTCGCCAGTGACCAGCCAATCATCCAGCTCCGGCCATAGGAGGTGCAGTGAAGGGCACAGGACAGTCAGGTCCAGCTTCAATGCCTGAGTGAGCTCGGTGTCTGGATCAGAGTGTCTGAACTTGTGAAGGTCGTGGTGCACAAATAGGGCCAGGTGAGAGAACAATGTACAAACATGTGGTCCTCCAGGTGGTCTGGTACACGTGCAACCCAACCTAGCCAGTGCAGTGTGGGTTTGAAGCCATTCCGCATACTTGGTCAATTCAGCCCAGCGGTCACCATGCTCCGTGCCCAAATGTCGAAGGAGTGAGGTGGAGCTTTGGGAGAGGTGTCCACAAATTCCACAACGGAGGCCCAGTCGCCTAACCAGACTTTTGTACCCCATCAAATGATCAAACGTCCCACCGCTGAGTCCAGCCAAGATCACCGGATGATGCCAGAGATATGGTACCTCAGCCGTGTCCTGGATGAAGGTGTCACATTGATTGCCAATGATGTGGAGTTTCAAGGCCTTCAGTGTCGAGAAGGACCGGTCACAGTGACTGCACTTCATTTCTCCAGGGACCTGATCACGGAGAGGCTGGAAAGTCGTCTGAACTGTGGTATGTGGGTGTTGCATACTCAAGTGCTGATGAAGCCCAGCAGCCGTGGCAAATTGACAGTCACAAGAGGTGCGCTGATACTGGGCCTGAGATCTATGATCAGCCATTGTAGG